ATAGATAGATAGATAGATAGATAGATAGATAGATAGATAGATAGATAGATAGATAGATAGATAGATAGATATAGACAAACAGGCAGACAGAATTGGATTTGATCATATGCTGCGATAAAATAATTTATATACAAAAGCTTTTAAAACTACCTATTATTAGGAGAAAAAACATAATTAATGTCCTTATAAAATATTGTGCTAAAAATAGAACCAGCGACACAATTACAAAAAACATTGTTTTCCTATCAATGATGTACTTATCAATTATTCTAACTTTAAGCATAATTACCCAGCAAATCCATCTGTTTCTAGTATAATTTCCGAATTCAACAGCTGTCCAAAGCTTTCAGTAGGTGGGGGATTAACTGCAACTTTAGCTAGAAAAATAAAAAATACATATTTTTGCAGTTATCTTTGTTAACATACAATGCACATTTGTTTAGTTAGAATTATTATACCATTAAAGTTGATTGCAGTTATGGAGTTGTAGTATTTGCTGATCTCCACCGGTAGACCCAGAGTTGTAGCTTGGAAGTAACGAGCCTCATAGGTCAAAAATGACCGAGTGTAGTCCCATGAGATACCTTTGTGTAAACTCTCCATCAGAGCTCTCAGAGGACTTGATTTCCATGTAGCAGCGCTAAAGGCCTGGAGGTGACAAAAAATTATTCCAAGCCTTGCTGACATCACTTTTTTTTTTTTTAAATAAGCAACAACAAATAAGGACAGACTCTTGATCTTACTGTGATTATATTCCGTAAGGTCTCTTTGCTCATGTCTGCGAAAAACCACTCTTGTCCAAAGATGCTAGAAAAAACTGACAGGACTGGTTTATCATTTTCAAGAGTCTCCCACTTTTGAAGCTGAAAATGGAAAAGTACACTGATTATCCTGTGTAAAAGAAAAACACAAACAAACACATCACATATCAGGTAGTTAAACAACACAGTTATGTTTGTTCAGTTTATTTCAGCATTGCAGGGACACAAAACTAGATGCATACCATGGTATTGGACTTTTTGTAAAGATGTTAATGAGATTAAAAAAAAAAGCATTTTGCAGTTAAAAATCATAATCTTGATTAGGTTGAATTAAATTCACTTGAAAAACAATCAGATCCAAAAAAAACTACTTTTTTCTTTCCCTACACTAGTCACCTATGGAGTCTGCTATTACCTTATCCAAAAGAAAATATTGTTGGATCAGTAAGAATGGATTGCTTGGAAAAACAACCAATCTAGTTGGTGAAACAAGTTTTGGTTAAATTAACCGATATATAAGGCAGAAACTGATCATGCCATTGGTTTTGGATCAACCAATTCAATTGGTCAACCAATAAAATAAAATCCCAAGTAACCGATAGTTTACTAATCTGACTTATTGAGTTCTTTATTGTAAAATGAAGTGGAGCTTAATTTAATGGCAAGAGAGCAGGAATGTAGACTTAGACACACTTTATTGTAATTTTGTTAACAAAGTGTTTACAAAACGAACTTTTGGTTCAGCCTATGTTTTTCAGCCATAATTTTGTTTATGTAAACACAATGCATTTTTTATACTTAAACTAAACTTAATTTTAAGTTAACTGAACCTAAGTTTTACCATATCATACCAAAGTGGTACGATGAAATTAGCAGCAAAGAGGTGGCTTCGCTTTGAAGGCTTTTCTCCAGGGTAAAAAGATTTTTTAAAGCACATAAATACCCATGACATTTTAAAGGCATTATATTACCATATACATTTGCTTATAGGTGACTTTGAAAGGCTTTAAAAAGTATGATACAGAGTAGGACCTTTAAAGCTGAAATTACTTGTAATTATTTTTACAAACGTATGTTGCACAGCTTCTCTACACCAGCTTAGTGTGTGTTTTGTAAGGATTTTCCCTGCATAGAGTATTACTCACCACACTGAAAATAGCCTTGAGATCATTTATACTAAAGTCTCCTTTAAATCCAGGAATGGCAGTTCCAAACAGGTCTTTTATTCCTTCTGCACTGATACCCAACTACATGACACAAAAGAAAGAGTATGTTTTTTTTTTCAACATGGGAGAAATATGCAACTGTAATGCACATGTGAGCAGTGATGTTGAACACCTCACCGCAAATAGATCCATAATTCTGCCAATGAAGTGCAGTTTTCCTTTGAACATTATCTCAGAGGGAATGATGTTGCTTGCATTTTTTAGCATAAAGTATTCGGACGATATCCCAGTTAGCCAATTATCTGGATGAAGAAATTATACATTTTCAGGCAAGGGTTATGAATTTTTTTGGTTCTTAACCAAAGTGCCATAAATCTTTTCCGACATACCATCAAACAAGTCTACAAGCTTTGCTTTGCTGTAGTAATAACTAAGACGCCCCAATCTGGGGGCAAGGATTCTTACAGCCAAACTGGAGGCAATTGAACTGTTGGCAAGATGAAAAAGCAAATTTTAGCTTAAAAATCTCAGTTGAATAAAGCTTTCCTATCTTAATTAACTCACAGGTGGTGATTGTCAGGAGTTGTGGAGCTAGCAAATCCTTGCAAGTAGGAGTATGCAAAGCTAGCAACCTGAAGATCTCTTTCTTCCAGAAGATGAGCTGTCACAGTGGACACAAGCGCCATTGAAGGTTTAGTGTTGAAAAGGATCCTGAAGGCCAGCATACGAACCTCAGATGGAACGTCCTTCTGCAGGAACAGGGCCATGGTGACATCTTGTACCTGAAAGCACAATTACTGTAAAATTAGGAAAGAAAATGTTTCCCCTCTACTTCTCTGTAAAAAAGTAATAACTCTCACTATATTGCATAAAATTGGAAATGTATGGATGTCATTGCTTTTATAAAGTCAAAGCTTTATTAAGATATTCTACCTTAAAGTTGTGCTTTGTTGTCCAGAGGGAAAAATATCTGTTAGGGTTATTACAGTTGTTTTTAATCTGTTATAATGTCTGTAGAGTAACACGCTTTGTAAAGCCTACATCTTTTACAGATTTAAACTTGAATGTATTCTATTAGGTTTTACTGTCATAGATTAACATATTGTTTTTCATAGGTGTAGACTGGACAGATAACTATATCCACATAATATATACTATATGAGATTTACTATATAACATTTTTTACAGAAAAATCTGAAAATGAATAGTGTACCTTTTTTACTTGTACACTGGGGTGGAAGGTAGAAATCAATCCTAACCTTGTGCAGCCTTAAAGTTTTTAGTTTTTTCCCCAACGTTCCTTAATGTTTAGCTCCTTTCATCTTCAGACCAGTACCCTGCTAAAGAAATGCAACCCCACAGCATAATACAGCCATGGGATTTTCCCTTCAACACTAAAGTGCTCAGGGAATGATGGAGTATTTGTTAATTCCTACATAAATATTTTCAAAAAAGATTATTTGTTGGTCTCCCACAACCTCGTTTGTCATGTTAATCAGAGTGAAGTGAACACTACCACTAATACTCTGTATTAGTGGTAATGTTAATTTAATTGCTTGGGCGAAATTGCAAACAAGTCTTTTTGCTGCTTTCTATCAAGACTGGCTTTTTGAGATGCAAAAGATAAAACTAAAAGTAGTCTGGTAGGAACAGATTTTACCAGCTTAGATCTCTTGAGAATAACTGAGTGAAATGGTTTGTCCCTTGTTAAATACTGTCATACCTGGTCTGTCAGTTTTTAAAATTCCATGTTATAGTAAGGCCGTGGTCTTCCATGTTCCATAACCAATCTTCTTTTTTTTTTTATATATATATATATGTAGTTTTGTCTCCAGTGAAAATAAAAGACTAAATCTAACAAAAAATGTCTTACAGCTTAGATTAAAAACAAAAGTTAAATTACACAGTAGACATTTGAACAATAAAAACTGTCTTCATTGCCTCTGCTGTGTTTTCACCCCAATCTTCTAAATGAATGGGAGGGTCTAAAGTTTACCAGAGTAATGAAAACGATCCTAAATCTAAAAATTATAGCTATTGGTTAAATATATTCTTTCCACAAAACAAAAAACAAAAATCTAAATTAAAGAAACGTGATTTTCAAAAACATCATAGCCACAAAAGGTAGGTTTGCAGGTTTCCATTATCAGAGGATGGCCATTAGATATTCAGACTTTAGGATATAGTCACATAGCATATCCTGGCTTTAAACACTATCCCTGCCCTGTTATGTCCATTGCACTTCTTAATGCTGTTTGTCCACTAATATGCTGTAATAAAGTTCTGAAGTCTTCACAAAAAAGCTGTATTTATATACAGATTCAACTACACATCAGTGATCTCCTTTTATTTATCAAGTAATTTCCTGAAGCAATAAGTTTCACTGAATTATAATTAGGTTTTTGATTATTTGGGGCTGAAAACATTTCAGATCTTTCAGCTTTTGATTGATACAATAAAATAGTAAACCACAAATACTTTATATATTTTCTTACAATGTGCCACTTCAGTTGGTATCCTGCCTAATTTTCCAATAAAGAACACCTTTTATATTGAATCATTAAACAAAAAAATATACAAACAAATTCTTATAGAATTGTGAATAGTTTTTTCTGTAAATTGAAACATTTAGATGAAGCAGTATGCCATGTAATGTTCTTACCTTGTGAGGGTCTCTAGTAGTGATGAGTCTCATAGCCTTCACAGCGGCACTCTGCACCCAAACAGGCAGATCCACAGGAGTGGCAGCCACTCCAGGAAGGTAACGTATGATGGTTTTCATACTCGCAGGGTGGCCTGCATTCCCCAGAGCTTTCAGAGCGACAACCATTTCTTCTTTGTTGTTACTCCTCAGAGCCTCTGTGGCAATCTCCAGCAGGGGCTAGTGTAAATTTAAAACATGTGTAAGGCTTAACAAATTTAGATTTACATCAGTTATTTTCAACTTTCAAAAATGAAAAATCTTTTTTTTCCAGATTTATATTACCTGAACAGCAGATACTGGACATGGTGTATAATATGCACAGTACTTGTTCACCAGAGAGCCATAGGAAAGGGCCACAGTGTGCCACAGATAGGTGTTAGATTTACTGAATGGCATCTTTAGGAAAACCTGAAAAGATTAAAAACAAAGAAATCTTTGTTTATATAATGCTTTCAAAATATTTGAGGTTGATTGATTGTTGAATGTCGAGTATCAAGATATTTGTCTTTATCTCACTCACTTTAGCCATCTCAACACGTTCAGGAGTGACTGCAAGATGTTGAAGAGCCATCAAGAGGGATTGCCAAGCTTCAATTGAAGTCAAATCCTTTATCTTAAACCTGTTCTCCAAGAAATTCAGCACTCTCTCATCTCCAACTTCGACAATAGAATCCAAAAACCACCGTCTGATGAGTAAAGTTAAAATAGTTGGAATCAGAATATATATACACTGTAAATTTTGCAATGTTAAAGTAACACTTTAAGAGTTTAATTTAACACCTGTCTGAGTGCATTTGGTCCCACTCTGAACTTGTGATAAATTAACTTTACATAGCGTATATCTTACTCCACTTGTTGCTGTAATAACTCTAAAATAGTCAACATACTTTGACATATTTAACACTGTGGAATTTACTGTGCAACATACGGAGTACCTTAAACATAAAAAAATTGGAAATTCTTTATATTTGTCCCTGCAATATTACAAAAACAAAGATACTGTTTGGAACTCCTTCATTCGGGAGTATAGAAATAGTCTCAACAATGCAAAAGGTTCCCTGGCGTTCAGAGGTGTTTGGTAACAAGTTATTGTGGCTGAATGTGCTTCACTCATCGTACTGCAGTTAGCTGAGCTGTGCACTTATCTCTATTGACTCGATTTTAGGGGGTGCTTTGTGTTTTGCTTTTTTCTTCGAATTTGAAATGCTAGGTGTCATTAAAAAAATTATCTACCTGGTGGGGGAGCTTTCTAGTGAACAACTGATTAGAAAGCCTTGGCTCCTGTGTGACAGACTATCTAAATTAGGGGACTGTACACTATAAAGGATGATTGGGCTTGAGTACAGTAACATGCCAACAAGGTGGCAAGAAAGAGCAAAGACTTGCTTATTCCTTACATAATACCCAGAATTCTGGGGTGTGGAATAGTCAGCAGTTATTCCATGAAAATGTTCATCTCATCTTTTAGGAAGTGCTCACCGGTGCTTGGGATTTTCTGCTAATTGCTTCCACATGTTTTCCAGTCCTTCATAAGGTATTACTCGCATGAGCTGGTACACCTTGAAAACATCCTCTGTAGTTGCACTGTCAATACTTTGACTATTAGCCACAGCCAATCGCTTTATCAATTCAATAGCCTGTTAAATAGAATAAACAGTATGTCGTTGTTGAGTTTACTATTCAAAGTTGCCAAAATTTTACTTCATTTTGTGTTAGCTAATGTGTAGAGCCGTAGTTATTACCTTTGGCACTGGGTTATCCAGATTCTGCATCATAACTGGAATATTGATGTCCACATCTTCAAATTTGTAAACAATATTGCCTTTGCTTTCCACTGGTCCATATGTTCTGGCTCTGGCCGTGTCATTCACACTAAGCAGCACCAAGTTCTTCCTGCCAAAGAAATTGTTTATTAAAGAAGGCTTCTATCACAGATAAAAGTTAAATTGTATTTATCCGCACTCACATTGCTTGCATCTTCAAACTACCACCCTTCACATTGAAAGGAGTGAAGTGCTGCTGCTCGAGCCCATGAGCTTTGGTAATGAGACCTCCCTCTGCTGTTGGTTTGACGGTGTAATTATATTTCATGGTTGAAACAATCGATTCTCCTCTCTATATTTAAAGAATTAAGAAAAATAATAAGAGGGAACACAGGCCAATTTGACTTACAAATGCAAAGAAGACTATTTTAAGAAAAAGATAAAAAACCTCTTTGGATAGTTTATCCACCACAGAAGATGACATTCCTCTGTACATTGCCGCCCTTTCCTTGCATTTAGTCACATCCACAACCTGAGTGATGATCCAATCCCCGGTTTCCTCATTTTCATCAATAGCGTAGTTACTATGACATTTACCATGGATTCCAGTCTGCACAAAAGTCACAATGTCTGACTTCTTTTACACTTATACTTTTCATTTGTGGAACAAAGTGCTTAATTACATTTTTGTTTACCTCTTCCAGTTCATAGATGTGCTCTGTAGTCTTCAGAGTAACTTGGAAAAAACTAAGTATACCTCTAATGATGTTGACAACAGCAGTAGAAACCTCAGCAGATGCACGAATGTCACCAATGTGTCCATTGGCATGCTCAAACATGAATGGTTTTGCAAGCTCAGCAGCAATACGTTTTGTAACTTTTGGGGTGGGATTGTAGCCTGCATTCTTGTCTGGAAAGCCATTAAGGTCAGCAAATGACAATTCTGAGACCTTGAAACCAAAAACACAAACAGAAAGATTTTTTATGCTCAAACTGAATGTGTTTTTCAAGGGAACAAAAAAAAAACTGTCAGCTTTGCCTGAAAAGAGCTTGCATACATTTTTATCTTGAAAGATGAGCATTTTAAGAAAACAAAAATGTAACAGTTGAAGCCTAGATTTGTCTGGATTTTCCCTAACCATCTAAGTGTTTTTATCCTTTCTAAAATGTTAACAATGAAACACAGACTGTATTGACTGTTGAAGCAAGCTCTGTTCCTCTGTTGTGTGACTAACTGTATGCTTACAAAAATGCATTCAAGATAAAGGCTAACTTTTAACTTTAACTTTTAACTTTTAATTTGAGTAATCAATGCAAACTGTATCTCTATCTATCTATCTATCTATCTATCTATCTATCTATCTATCTATCTATCTATCTATCTATCTATCTATCTATCTATCTATCTATCTATCTATCTATCTATCTATCTATCTATCTATCTATCTATCTACATTACATTTCAAGTAACAGTTTTTTAGAGCATAGCTGTATTTTTGGACTTATTCATTATTAATACTATGTTTGAGTTGTACTCTATACCAACTGTAGATGAAATATGTTATTTTCAAGAATTATTATGGATTCTGCAAGATCATGTCATTGATGAGAACTACAAGTAGAATTTAAACACAATGCCATTGACTCATTCCTTAAAGTAGAATTGATTGGGACTCTACTTCTTTCTACTGAAAAAAAGGAATAAATACAAAATAAATTTTGTTAAAATTAGATTAAAATCAGCCAAAAATTACACTAAAACCTTGCCTTAAAAAAAAATCTCCTATATGAACTGGTCCTATTGTATTTTAGAATGTTTATAGGAACTTGATTAGAATTTTGCCTAATTGTGCCTAATAATAATGCCATATACATTGTGGGATTTAGACCAGGGAGGGCAAATTATATTTTAAGTTAAAAAAAGAAGAACAAAAACAAAAACTTCAACATCCCCATAGAGATGCATTATCCTTGCACAGTTAATTAGCAACTATTAGTTGATCAGTTAACAGCTTTTTGTATAGCCGTGTCATTAAGAAAATCCACTGGATTGTTTTTAAATGTATTTTGAATTGAAAAAGCTTCTTGGATGGGTAGATTGTTTTTAATTTTCTTTTTTTTGGCATGAATATGACCTGGATGGCTGAGAATCTTTCCCAGCATAATGTGTCATTAAGATATAAAGAGATATAAAAAATAGCTGCTGTAAACATTATGCCAACTGACTATGTCTTCCTTTAGTTCAGTGTATAGTTGTGCTCTAGCTTGCTTTAAAGATTGATTAATAACTGCAACATTAAGTCTCATCTGTACATTGCTTTGGACATATATAAAATGGTTAAACAATGGATTCCAACCTCTAAAGAAAAGCAACGCTTAACTCTTTAAAACCAAGTTTATCATATTTGATACCTCTGCATTATCAGTGGGATACTTTTATTCTTCTTTGACACAGACACATGTAGGGAACAGAAGATCTATAAAACATAACATAGAACTCCCTAAAGTATCACAAATTATTCAAATGAACTACCTAATAAAAGTTATACAAAATTCTTTTTTTTCTTTCATTTTTGTCAGAAAGTTCAATGACACCTTTAATCTGTAATAATTGGAATAGGAAAAATAATTTCATGGTTCGGAGTTAAAACTGTAGAAATGTCAATTGAGCTGTTCCAAAATTAATAAAACAAACCTTTAAATAATACAAATGACAAAAATGCATTCATCTTCCATCATTCGTATGTCCGTTTCTAGCAGGACCATTTCCAACTTTATGTTCTGTCTCTCTTACCTGTAGAAGGAACATTTGTTCAGAAACACCGGTGATTGTGGCCTTGCACTTTATTCGCAACCCAGATTCTGCCAGGTTTGGTTTGCCAAGTCCAAACTTAACCTCTCCTTCATATCTGTACTCATAGGCTTTCTTGGGATTCAGAGCAATATCTTGAAGAAGTATTCAATATTGAAATTAGCATTCTTTGTAAAAGAAAAAAACATTTTCTTTACTAATTAACTAGAATACAATTTGATAAGAAAAGACTCACCATATCGTAGGTTTTGACTTGCTTGAAGGTTAAAAGAAAATAGACAAATTTGAAACTTTTGCGAAGTAGTGTCAGAAATTCCTAATTTTACTTTTGTATGATGAATGCAGTCAAGGAGTATGAATACTGAACTAATAAGTTTATTTAACAGACTTTTCACAGTATGCAGAAGATTGCATTTAAATGGAATCATAACAAATGCAAGTATTTAATCACATATTTAAAATAATGGCTATAAATCAAGGTGTCTGGTACATATTACAATGGATTAAACTTCTTAAGCATTTCCTTACTCCATGTTTCACAGATATGATGTTAAGCTTTCAATCTTTTTCTTAAAGGGTCATTTACAATAAAAGTAGGTGAATAAAGAATTGCTAATAACAGAGCTTTGACAGCTACACATAAACACTCCAAAATATATACAGTTTTCTGAGTAGTAAAAAAGTTAGAATTAATGAATAAAAACCTACCAGTTAAAGCCACAAGCCAACAAAAGAGTAAGCCCCGCATGATGAAAGAGGAGTGGAGACAGTTGTATTTTGGCTCTTTAAATAAGTACTGGGATTTCATTTCTCTTTTAACCTTGATAGCAGATCACATGGATAGATAACTGCCTTGGTCAGGGTAAACATTTGCTTTGCTTGTGGTAAGTCACATCAACCTGTGACATTGTCAGAGTGACATGATCAACAGGTGAACAAGTTTGAGCACTGCTTTCATATAAGCCAATAGCTATTAGAAATTAAACTTATTAAGTAAACTGCACATTAGTAAAATAAATGAAACAGTAGCTGCTGTGGACAAAAGGTTTCCAAACCTAAACTTACTTAGTAAAACAGTTTTCAAAAGGCAAAGGACAAAGGCTACCTACACATGATTTGCCTTGGTTACTGTGAGACAAGCACTCCTTATATAATATATTGTTTAAAAAAACTGACTCAACATTATTCTACAGTGGAAATCTGGGTTAGGTTAATGCTCAAATCACATCTGATGCAGTAGTTGCATATAGAAAATAAAAATATGCTTTTCCCCTTACTCTTAAACAGAATTTTTTTCTATATGTACTTGCAAGTCAAGAAATTCTCTGTTTTTCTAATGCAGGCTCTGAAAACTTTGCCCTGGCATCAAAGAGCACCAAAAAAAAAAAAAAAAAATGCTCCTCCTGAAAATACATATTCAGGGTGATGAAAGCCAGCTGCAATCACCTTAGATGTTCAATCTTGCTGTCTTTTATACAATGTTTTTTTTTTCTTAATATATAAATTAGCTCTTATTTTTCTTCTTTAATCATACTGAGGGAATCGTCTGGGTTATTTGACCCTTTTTTTGTTTTGCAGAATTTGAAGTCAATTTTTTTTCTTGAATTTCATTGTAAGAGCATGCTGTAGAGAGCAATGGTAGTAAAGTCTTGTGATTCCTGTAGACTGAATTGCAGGATTGGAGGATATAAATGTTACTGAATAGACTGACTGAGAAGTTAATTTTACCAATAGGATTAACCTAAATGTATTTAATATTTTCATTAACTTTACTACAACCCATCAAAGCATCTGTATTTACTTTATTTAATCACTATGATAAGATGCATTCGTATCTGCAAGTTCCATACCTTACTCAGATTCGGATTATTCTGTAACAGTGAATAAGCAACAATTTACTTGACTTCAAAATGTATTTATCTCTGTCCAATGTTGCCAGTTTACCTTTTAGTTTTTCTAGTGAAAAATAACTGGCTAACACTCAGATAGCTTGCAGGCATGCCTAAAGTCGGCCTCCGGGTACTGATGTCCTGCAGGTTTTAGAGGTTTCTCTGTTTCATCACAGCTGATTGTGATGATTGCAGAAGCATGTTAATGAGCTATCAATGGAAATCAGCTGCGGTGAGATAGGGAAACTAGGCATGACTGGGATCAATCAAACAATAATTGGTTTGACTATATTCTTTATGTAAAGGGGACATGTAAAATCCTAAAATCCTTTTTAGTTTAAAATACATTTCTTTGTGTACATTTCATTGTGTACACTTTGTCTGTAAATGTCCAATATCATTTAGTTTAATTTTTCATCATAGTATTTGAATCTGCCCTTTATTTCTCTTGCAGGGTTTTTGTAGTCCAAAATGAAGGATGCAAAAGCAACAAAAAATGAAGGATACCAAAGCAACAAGCAGATCCATCCATCTGTCCGTCCGTCCGTCCATCCGTCCGTCCGTCCGTCCGTCCAACCATCCATCCATCCATCCATCCATCCATCCATCCATCCATCCATCCATCCATCCATCCATCCATCCATCCATCAATCCATCCATCCTTCCATCCATCCATCCATCCATCCATCAATCCATCCATCCATCCATCCATCCATCCATCCATCCATCCATCCATCCATCCATCCATCCATCCATCCATCCATTTTCTTCCGCTTATCCGGGGTCGGGTTGCGGGGGTAGCAGCTTCAGTTGGGAAACCCAGACGTCCCTCTCCCCAGCCACTTGGGCCAGGTCCTCCAGGGGGAATCCCAAGGCGTTCCCAGGCCAGCCGAAAAACATAGTCCCTCCAGTGTGTCCTGGGTCTCCCCCTGGGCGTCCTCCCGGTGGTACGTGCTTGGAACACCTCACCAGGGAGACGTACAGGAGGCATCATAATCAGATGCCAAAGCCACCTCAACTGGCTCCTCTCGATGTGGAGGAGCAGCGGCTCTACTCTGAGTCATCCCCGGATGACTGAGCTCCTCACCCTATGTCTAAGGGAGAGCCCAGACACACTACGGAGAAAACTCATTTCAGCTGCTTGTATCTGGAATCTCATTCTTTCGGTCATGACCCAAAGCTCATGACCATAGATGAGGGTAGGAACGTAGATCGAACTGGTAAATCGAGAGCTTTGCTTTTTGGCTCAGCTCTCTCTTCACCACAACAGAACGGTACAGGGCCTGCTTCACAGCAGACGCCACACCAATCCACCTATCGATCTCCCGCTCCATCTTCCCCTCATTCGTGAACAAGAAGTAAGTATCTTGGCAACAAGCAAATTAAACTTGAAAACCCTAACCCTTACCCAAGTGGAAAAAAATAAGAGGCACAATTAAAACACTGACAGGTAAAAATACAAAAATGTAAATTACAATATTTGTAGCTGTGTAATTTTATCACATTATGAATATATTTAATAACTTGTAGTTAAGTTATTAAATATCTTAACCATAAGTTATTATAGTTTGGCTGCTCAGTTTTGCAGTAGGTAGCACTACAGCCTTACAGCAGGACGGTTCCAGGTTCAATTCTACTGTAGGTCCAGGGTCCTTCTGCATGGAGTTTGCATGTTCTCCCTGAGCATGCGTGGGTTCTCTCTGGGTACTCCAGCTCCCTCCCTCAGTCAAAAAAAAAATGACTGTTAGGTTAATAGTCTTCTCTAAATTCTCCTTAGGTGTGCGTGTGAATGGTTGTTTTTTTTCTGTTTGTCTATGTGTTGCCCTGCAATGGACTAGCAACCTGGCCAGGGTGTACCCTGCCTCTCGCCCGTAGACAGTGGAGATAGACACCAGCACCCCTCGTGACCCCTGCAGGGATGTAGTGTGACAGAAAATGGATGGATAGTTAAGTAATAGGCCATTCGAACTAAGGATAAAACCAAATAATGATTAGTTAAATGATTAAATCTGCTATTTGCTTACTCACCAGTGTTCTTAGTCTTTTACATAAGGTTGGACCCCTGGACCAATGTCCAATCTTATGTAAAAGACATAAGATGGATTTGGACAGCCCGTTTTGTTGCCTTAAAATCCAGTTGCCTTCAAAAATGTATTTATCGAGGCTATGACTATCAGCAAAGTTATTTATCACCAACCAAAGAGATTGTGTCAGTTCATTCAAATGAAAACCAAAGGAGGGTGTATCCGGCCTGGGTAATAAATCTATCATTGCTTAAAATAACCACAAAAGACAACAGATTAAAATACAATTGTGCCTTTATTAGCAAATATTAGCTATCACATATATTATCACAGGGCTGCCAACCTTTCACCAAACCTTGAGTGAGATTTTTAAATAGTCTGGACAGGCAACGCTTATCAGGGTTCAAGTGCTAGATTGCTTAAAATCTTAAATAATTTACAAAGAGAATTATCTTAGTCCAGATGAGATAAGATAAAATTTAAAATGACATACGTACCTCATAATAACTTCTCAGAAATCCTGGTCTTTTTTATATATATCTGGCGCAGCTGCTGTCAGTGCAGTGAATATGTGGGCTGGTGAAAAAATACAGACTGGATGTGAACATGCCATGTCTTCCTGTTTTAGCACTAAGGTTGTATTAAAAACGAAGACTGGGTTTTGATAAGCATACTATTTTTATATATAAATAAGTGGACAGGAGTTAGTTTTATTGTCTGTTATTTTTTAGCGTAAAAAATTGGGGATATGGAGCGATAGCATGTGAAGACACTGAGATGCGGGAGTCTCACTCACAATGGGTGGGAGTTGACAGCCCTGTAATCATATCTAAAAACTAGTGTTGAGCCGATGCCATTTTTTGGCCCAGATACCGATACACGATACCTGGCTGTGCAGTATCGGCCATACCGATACCATCTGTTTGAAATGGATGTGTGTTTGTATATATAAATAACATGAAATAATATGCATACTACGTGGATGTAAAATAATTGCCATCATGGCTTTGTCAAGCTGCTGCCTACTTTTGTGAAGCAGGAAAAAGACTAATACAAAGTGAATCCAGTAGAACTTTTTATTGCCTACCTGGAATGGGTGACAAGGTAGTTGAATAAACTTTTGGCTCTCAAAATGGTATCCGTGCCCTACTTGTCGGTACTCGCCAATACAGATACCACCATTTTAGTGCAGTATCTGGGCCCCGTCTGATACTGGTATCGCTATTGGTGCAACACTACTAAAAACCAAGTAAAAACTAAAAACTACAGCAAATAAGCACAGGTAAATGAAAGAAAATATTAAAAAAGGGGAAGAGGGTTTTAAGAGTCCGTTCAGAGTCTCTGAGGAATGTTCAAGTTTTAAAGCTTAATATATTCAAGGTGTCCTTTGAAATATCACCAGATAAATTTGAATAACCCTCATGCAGTTACATTGAATGCTATCAAACAGGAGAGTTTCACCTGATTTTAAAATGAAAAATGAACAATGATTCAGGATTAAAATATAGGGAAGCTGTAAAGAATGGGTTAGCTCAACTGGAACAGGATATCTGGTTCTTGGGTGAGCCAGCTAGAACAAAAGGGTTTAGAATAGCATCCATTGGAGCTACTATCTACTGCTCTGTAGTTTCAACTCAAAATAGTGGACACGGCCAAACAATGATACCAATGTCCCTGCGTCCACAAGATGTAAAGATGCTCCAAGTGCCACCCCAACTATCCACCTGGCTCCACCACTGCAAGATCCCACTCCTGCTGTAAGAACTTGGCACTGCAGTGTAACTCATTACTGGTCGCAACATCAGTGGGGACACTCCTGACATCGCCACAAGTTATCAAACCGATTATAGCCCATCAGATTCGCTCGTTGTTTGTATCAAACTTATTCGAATCTCAAGGCTGACCAGGCCTTGGAAACAGACTGGTTTATGGACTGCATCACACTGGAACCACACGCTGCTCCCCCTCTTGTCCGTCAAGTCAACACACAGGAAAACCACCTTCCATTTAATCTCATTTGATTCTCAATTAAGGTGCTCTAGCTCGGGCAAGCCTAGTTAATTAGATTTTCAATTCATTTTATTGAGACCCTTGATTTTAAAGCTGATGATTTCATATGAAAAGGGTTCTGTAAGGGACACTGATTTCATGAAGTGTGTGTGAACGAAAGTGTGAATGGATGCAACTGGATTGTTTTATTTCATTGTTCTTTTCTTTCTCTCTTTTGTCGAGAAGTTAATGTACAAAAAGCTGAGCTACCAGCATTGTCAAGCTTTGGATTTCTCATTGTGGTCACGTGGTGTAGGGGTGGCCATTTTATGAGTTTTACAACCCATTGACCATTTCTCAAGTATGTATTCGCATTCTCTGAAAGTCTGTTCTTGAGAAAACCCACGGGAATAAATGTCGAACTAGCACATTTACTTGTGATGTCACCAAACGCACAGCTCGTCTTATTTCAAATTATTTGATTCATTAATAGTCTGTAGAGAGCAATAATAATAATAAATATACATTAATTAATACTAATGAAAAAGTATAAGTTCTTTGAAAATAAAGAAAGAAAGCGAACCCGATAACTGCTTTTGGCTCCTTAAAAACCAATAATCTTCATTGCACAAAAAGTGCAAGGAAGCTCTCCTATACCTTTGTATTCCAGAGGAGGTACTATGCATGTAGAACTAAAGACATTTTACCCAGATGTTGGTAACAATCCACGCAATCACTTCACTGTTGTAATGGTGTTTTTGTAGTGATGTGCAGTGCCACTTGCACTCCAAACATAATGTATATTATGGCATCCAAAGAGATCAGTTTTGTTCTCATCTGATCAGACTAAATCCTCACAGTATTTCACAGGCTTGTCTCAATGTTGTAAGCAAACCTTAAACAAGCTTCAACATGGTTTTACTTCAGCAATGGAGTCTTGTATGCTGAGTTTCGGACAGGCCATGGAAGATGAGGGCATTGTTTGTTTTCTTTGAAACAATTTTACCTGCTATTTGCAGGTCTTTCTGAAGCTCTTCACAAGTGGTCTGTCGTGATGGGTTTCAAATGTTTAGCCCACATGCAGAAACAACTCAGAGGCAGGGAAAAAGTTGAACAGTTTATTTTATGTGCTGAACTCAGAGAGACAAAACACAGGGCTTCTCAGCTTGGGGGAAATCCAGCGGTCATGTGAACCGGCAACTCTAGGGGGAGATCAGAGTGGTGAGTTCATTGTCCATGGGAAAACAGGCCAATGAAACAGACTCACTGTAATAGTTTGTGGTAGCTCCTTGGATCCTGTTTTTGGGGGAGGTTGTCCAGGTATGGAGATAACTTTGCTGGAGGGCGGACAGGCAGACTTATAGTGGTCCAGAGGAGCAGCGGAGCGGACTGTCACAAGCTTTCTTGAGGAGGACTGTGAACTGGTCAGGTTGAATGTTTCCCTTCTTTCTCAGTGAAAGAAATAGATTCCTTCCAAGGCTTGAAGAACCAGGCTTATCCAGTGGATCAGGTGATATCCTGATAATAAAAGGAGACAAAGGGTTAGGACTAGAGCACTCAAAGAGACGTAAACGTAAAGATAGACTCAGCTAAACTCAGAGAGGCTAGAGTACCCAATGCTGGCAAACACTCTGGCGAGGAGGTGGTGACAGTCCGCTGCCCATATACTCCTCTGATGGTAATGATCAAATGAGCCACAGGTGTGGGTGGTTGACAACAGGATAAGGCCCTCCAGGCAAACAGAGAAACAAGGGCACCATCTAGTGGATGGATGGAGACACTAAAAAAGAAAACAAAACAACCCCCACAAACTGGAACTCCAACATGGTCTTCCGCTCTTGGAAAACTCTTCTGATAATTATTTTCACTCCTCAGACAGAAATCTTGAGAGAAGCACCTGGTCATGGTCGGTTTATGGGGAAATGATGATCCTTCCACGTTCAGATTATGGTCTCAACATTGTTCACTGGAACATTCAGAAGTTTAGAAACACTTCTGAAACCAATGTCATCATTATGATTTGCAACAATAAGCTTGTAAAGGTGTTGAGAAAGTTCTTTACTTTTATCCATCATGAGATGTACATAGGCCATCATTTGGGAATGAACCCGGGGGGGGGGGGGGGGGTTATATTAATTTGAATTGACAAGGGGCAGGATTGCTTTCTAATTACTGAGAGAATTCGGTTGGTGTCTTGGCTTTCCATGCCTTTTTTGCATCTCCCTTTCTTCAGGTGTTTAAATCTTTTTCCTTTTGCCATTCTACATTATTACACATAACTTAATATCTGGACATCTACGGTTTTATTTTTTTTATGTGTGGATTGCATAGAATGTAACAAACATCTGGTGGAAATGTCATCTCGATTGCACATGTAGAAATACATTTAATGAGAAAAATTATGTCATGTTCAATTCTTATTTTACCCTTTGATTATGTTGGTAATGTTAAGGGTTAAGGTAAGGGTCTAGGTCAGGCCAAAGAAACGAACTGGAAATGAATGGAAAGTCCCAATAAGGATAGTTCGACATAATGTGTGTGTGTTTATGTGTTCAGTGTCCCTGTATTTGTTACATTGTGGGGCATGTTTTCTGGAAAAATATCATGTTGTAGAGATCAACTGCTCCTTGTCTGTGTCCATACATGTCACTTTGCTTGTGTGCTTGTGCATGTGTGGATTAGGGCGTTCACCAAAAAATAGACCTGTCGACCAGTCAACTTAATTAACCTGAGTCAGCATCTGGACAAACCAAAAATTGGCCACCCCCTAGCTGGGCAAAGCTTGCATCAGTTACGACTAGTGGAGTTTTCTCCAGGTGGGGCTATAAATTCAAAATAGCAAAAAAAACAATAAAACGTATAATAAGTTATCACACCAGTGTATTTATATGAATACTAACAACAAAGGGCAACAATATAAAATTTTTTTAAAACAAAAACATAATTTTTTGTACATAGATTTTCCCCTTCTGTCCTTGAGGGAAGGACATTTCTCAGTGACTCTATGGTGGAAGTCAGGGAGGGTTTAGTATAGGTTCTTCTCCATAGAGAGGATGGCCAGAGTTTTCATATGATCCTTGTGGAGACTTTCCATTGACATATTTATATTCATTTCTATGGCCTAACCCAGTCTAACTCAGCCCTAACCCTAACCATTACCAACAAATACTCAACCATATACAATATGTCATTTACATTCAAATAACACAATAGTTTTAAATCAAAGTACTTGTAAGTTTGTACAATTTAGCAAATTGTCCGCACCAGGTAACAAATACATAACCACACATCATACACACATATACACACTCACACACGACTGCAAGCATGATTTGTGCATTATGGTAATTAAATTTTTTTTTTTGTTTTTTTTTTGTATTTGTTTTTTTCCCACAAACATACAGATGATCATAACAAACACAAAAGGCAATGAATTTGTGGTTCCAAAGCAAGACTTTATGATTCTCTCAAGAGTTTCTCATCATGTCCAGTAGATGGTGGTCTTGGCCTATGAAATCAGCACAATATGTATTGAAGGATTTTTTTTTTTTTTTTGCTTCTATAAAATAAACGCCATGAGAATGAATGAAGTGAACAAAAGAGTGTTGCAGCCAAATCGGTTCACATTTTTACTGTAATTTGATAGTTTTGATAGCAAAGAATAAAACTAATCTTTCCAAAAATAATGGTGATGACTGAAAACATCTTACAGTAAATAAAAAAAGAACAGAAATTGTTTTTTTGTTGAAGGAATTGATAATCTTGCAAGGCTTTTACTGAACAATGACACTGAAGTGAACAAAAATAAAGATGCTAAAATAATAATTCATTGAACTTTTACTGATCTCACATTGGAGAAATTTACCTTTGCATTTAACCCATCCCCTTGGGGAGCAGTGGGCTGCCATCGTGGGGCGCCCAGGGAGCAGTGTGGGGTTAAGGGTGTTTCTCAGAAACCCAGATTGGCAGTTTGTGGGAATGGGGCTCAATATCAGAACTTCGGGATTCCACGCTATATGCCCTAACCACTAGGTTGCCACTCCCCATGTTGGATATATTTAATTTGAGTGTTTCAATACAGAAAAAAATTGTTTTCAAATATGCAAATGCTACATTTATCAGACATCTGTAATATCCTCACACTGACATTTACAAAAAATATATAGAAGAATCATTACAAGATATTAGATGTACTGTCAATTATTATTATGGAAATTCAGATTCACAATTAGCTAAAAGGTTTCATCTTAGCCATTCAAAACAGCAGGGTACGTTTTTGAAAAGCCTGTAGTACTCCTCCTGAATCTGAAAGGAAAACAGAAAAGGGAAAGATTCAAGTCAATAAAACTAATTAGAAATATCTTCTCAAGCTGCCTACCTGGTTTCTTATCTCAAATTTTATTGATAACAATTAAGGTGGTGGCAAGGAGGCCATCCAACCTAAGACACTGGTGCTCATTATCAGTAACTTTTAAGAAGGGTCAGATGCACTGATCTCAAAAATAACTGGAAATAAGTCATGTGGAAAAAGATTTTTCCACATGAAATTTTTTTTTTTTTTTCAATGGAAAAAAGGTGATTAACATGAATGCCAAATCTGAGTTTGTCAATAAAAGTTAGACATTTGCTTTGAACATGTTACGAAGGTAACCAGAACATTATACAATTATATTACAAATATGTAAAATATCAGTGGAAAGGAGGGAGTCAGTTTCAAGATGTTACCTTTCTGGACAACACACAAAGGAAGATGAAGATAAACATTCCTTGGAAAGCGTTGGTTATCGTAAAAAGATAAGCTGTCAGAGTAGTTTCATGGAGAATGTATAGAACTCCAAAGGTCCAGGTGGCACCAAGCACAAACAGCAGAGCCATAGCACCACGGGCGCAGGACCTAAGGGGGACATTACTGGGTTAACTAACCTGAGCCAGTGCTGAGAAATAGAGATGATACATCAGCAGGGCAACATTTTTAGACAATTTTAGCAGGTTTTTTTTCTTGTATTGGAATCAGCTGATATGTGTCTGCATATGTGTATTGGCAGCACATATCAGGGATTGGTTGGACTGATGTCATAATGTTCAGTATTGTCATCGGGCTAAAAAAAAACGGCGTTGGTTGATCTCTGCTGCAAACTTTGAAATGAAAAAATAACTTTGAATTGTACAAAGAATCTTCTAGTAATGCAACATCATTAACAGCGTGGTGTATACTTTTAATCCATTAGATAAGGACTCTGATATAGTTTTTTCTTGTTGTTTTTGATCTACTTTAGAAAAGCATAGGTAATCCTACCTGATATTTTCATAGTGGCTTATTTCAGGCTTTTTCACAGAGGTGTGCCGGTAGACCTTGTAGATAATTACCCCAAAGGCCAAGAGATTAACCTTTAATTTGAAACCAAACAAGACAAAGACAACAAACATGAAAAAGTCTGATGAATATTCATCATATAAACAACTTCTGTTTCTGGAATTAATGTTTCAACATTTTCAGCTTATTGCTGAGACATCTGTTTTTACCAGAATGATCAAACATGCAGGACCAATGAAGCTCCAAACAAAATGATTTTCTGTGCTCAACCAACACCTGAAAAAGAAGGATGGAGAGAATTATATTTGTGTAATTGAAAGATAAAAATAAAAAATCATGATTTGTATTTTTTGGTTTATTTAATCTCAGGACAATAAATGTTGGTTGAAAACCACCTGCTTCTACATGCATAAACATTAGGCCTAACATTGACTATGACTATGACTCCCTCAGGCCATATGCTGTAAATATATATATATATATATATATATATATATATATATATATATATAT